GGGGGATTTCCGTGTTGTTTTGTGATTGTCAGCCTTTTCGACATCCACTAAGGTTGAACTTGAATCCCAAGGTTTAAACTTGAAGCCCCCAAAGCCCCAAACACACACCAAAACCCAAGTTTTGGGCCTGCCACAGAGGCTAGTATTTCTGTGAGTGGATTAAAAGACTTTTTTTTATATCCACTCCGAGAGTGTCAATAGCCATGTGGGGAACAAAAAATATTCTGGAGGAGGAAATCTGTCTGAAATTTACCTTAAAAGTTTACTGCCATTTCTTAGCACATTTTTGCCATCATTTTAAACTCGAAGCATTTGGAATAGCCCCAAAGGCATCTCATTATCTTTTGGCACTGCCCAGAAATTATGACAAGCAACCTTTTTTTTGTCGGGCATCACATTTTTTTGTCCTACAGATTTAATCTACTAGTGGGTTTGAAATTTGGATGTCCAATCATGGACAATCTTATGGTCTTATGGCCTTGCAATTAGCAGTCAACCAAAACAAAAAGCCTAGGGTTGGCAGGGTTTTACTAGACTAAGTGTTGGTTTGGAAACCGCAGATTAACACATTTTTTTCCTAGACCTAAATCAAAATAACAACTAACAGTACTAGTACTGCTAGCTGGTGCGTACACATGTACATCAGACAAGTCATGTACACATTGGGTTCTAATGTGCTCTTTATTTTAACCTCCTACAATACAGGCATGATTGTTTTGTGCTTTCAATATGCAGACAGTACTAGTGTTACCCAAAGCTATTAAGTGTATTTGATTAAATGAACATAACTCAGTGTCAGGAAATATGGGCTTACAAGGCACGGTGACCTCAGTCCAATTTGTTGGTTGTTTCTCAGACATTGAAAAAATTTTTTTTTAGCAAGAGGGATCATGAAAAGATGCTTCACAGTGTTCGTATGCACAAGTTCTCTCTGCTGCAGGTTGAATAACCCCCGACCCCAAGGGGGGGGGGGGGCAGCAATCTTTGGGCGGGGCTAGTTCAAATTTGCACTCGCAAACCTGCTGTTTGAATCAGTTGAACAATCGATCAGGGAGCTAGCTTTAAAAATATGACACAGTTTGCTTTTATTATGATATGGCAGGAACGAGTTCTTCATAAACTTCACAAAGTATGTAAAGTATCACAGATTTCAACAAAAACTTTGTCGCATACTCTCAGACAGACTTCATCTTAAGTTACAGATGAAAGAATTTGTGCCAGATGAATTGGATACTGAATTGTTTCCAAGAATAATTCTGGCACTCCAGACAAATTTACTGTGTTTCTTGCTTTCCTTAATCAGTTCAACTGGGCCGAATTGGTTTTGAGTTACCTTCCAACATTATAAAAAGCATAGAGTGACCAGAGAATGGTGAGTTACATGAAAAAAGGGGCCTTGGCAAGATTTAACACCAGTGTAAGTAAGTGTGTAATATATATGCGTGAGCTGACTCTTACAGAAGCTCTACAGGCAACTATATAGCTAAATGTATTACGAGTTATTATCCACCATATATGTAGCAGCTCACATACTGTACACAGAAGCCGCTAATTTTTAAATATGGGGGATTGTGACTGTATTTCTTTGTTCTAGAATGCCACATCAAATGTGATCAAGAAAAATTACCAATTAGGGATACATTGTACATACCTTACGTTAGAAATAACAATTTCCCTTTGGGTATCCCTCAAATGACCTCTTTTATAGCTCAAATATTTAAAAGCTCCGGGCCGCGGAAGAGGGGCACATCACCCCTTCCACCCCACCCCCCTCTCAGCTGTAAATGCAATTGGCATGGATTTTTTCTTCAGACTCTTCTTCTCTCTTCTCCTCATTACCCTAATTAAGGTTTGTTCAAACAATCCATTTTGGCATAGGGAATGAGAGAGAGTGAAATTATAATAATATTATGCTCCGAAGCAAATGTCAGCCAGGATGTGCTGTCTCAGTTACTGCTGTGTTGAAGCTGTCAAAATGTCCTCGTTTGTGTTGTCTGCAGCTATGATGGTAAGTGGGCAAGTTTCCTTCCTACTCCCTCCTTACCTGTGAGTCTGTATTTTGTCGAGGTTGAACCCGACCTGTTCTTTTCTGACTTTCATGAGGCTAGGCGGAGTTAGAAGGTCATGGTCACTTCTAAGGCCAGCTGCTGGGAAGGTCTGGGTACTGGGGATCGGAATTGTCTTCTGATCATGATGTATATATTAAGTCTCTGGCTGTGATGGTTTCCATTTGAGAGATGCCAAGTCGATCTCCATATTGCATGTCGTAGGTCACTTTCAATTGGTCTTGTCCGAGGGTGTTTTGCAGTAACTTATTACTATATATTAGTCTGATCTTATTTTTTTTAAAGCAAATTTCAGTAGTTTTAGACTTCTCTCATTTGTCTCGTTGTTACAGCTCCAATTCAGACTATGTTCATGCCCTTTTTAAACCCTAGCTCCAATCCAGATTTGTTCTAACACTAACCCTAGCTCCAATCCAGATTTGTTCTAACACTACCCTAGCTCCAATCCAGATTTGTTCTAACACTACCTTAGCTCCAATCCAGATTTGTTCTAACACTACCCTAGCTCCAATCCAGATTTGTTCTAACACTTAACCTTAGCTCCAATCCAGATTTGTTCTAACACTACCCTAGCTCCAATCCAGATTTGTTCTAACACTACCCTAGCTCCAATCCAGATTTGTTCTAACACTACCCTAGCTCCAATCCAGATTTGTTCTAACACTACCTTAGCTCCAATCCAGATTAATATTTGTTCTAACACTACCCTAGCTCCAATCTAGATTTGTTCTAACACTACCCTAGCTCCAATCCAGATTTGTTCTAACACTACCTTAGCTCCAATCCAGACATGTTCAAACCCTAACCCTAGTTCCAATCCAGACTTGTTCAAACCGTACCCTAGCTCCAATCCAGAGTTGTGTAAACCATAACCTAGCTCCAATCCAGACTTGTTCAAACCCTAACCCTACCCTAGCTCCAATCCAGATTAATATTTGTTCAAACCCTAACCCTAGCTCCAATCCAGATTTGTTCAAACACTACCCTAGTTCCAATCCAGAGTTGTTCAAACCCTACTCTAGCTTCAATCCAGATTTATTTAAGCCCTATTTTAAAACCCTTAGTTTCAGTCCAGATTTATCCAAATTCCAATTGCTACAATGTATTTAGTAGCAGTAGCGTAGCCCTTTATCTTCTAAATGCCCTGCTTGCTGCGCCCACCGCGTCCACTGTTGCACCTCTACTGATCAGCTGCTCCAGTCGTGATGCCGCAGGCCCACAGGAAGGCATTGTGGGATTCCTCCCAGTACCTGGACGCCACGAGCTCCCGCTTGAACCTGGCGGCTTTCTCGAACTCCGAGTCGCTGTACTCAAGGACGTCCACGATTCTGTCTGCCCACCTCTTTGCATCTCCGGCACGATCGCGGTCGTTCACGCTGGTCTCCACGATGACATTCCTGTGCTCTGGGTTCAGTTTCTTCTCCTTGATCAGGTCGTTGATCATCTCTGCCAGGCCGGTTTGGCTGGAGATGAGGACGGGGATGCCTGCTGCGATGGCCTCCAGGCCGACCAGCCCAAACGGCTCGGAGCGGGACGGCATCAGTACCAGGTGGGCCTGCAGTATGTCCTCCCTGATCTCCTCTTGGGTCCCGTACGGCAGCAGGGTTGGGTTCAGGTCGGGACTGTTCAGGGCGTCTTCCAGGATCTTCTGGCTTGCCTCAAAGTCGTCCTCGCTGATGCCGCGGACCCACCAACGGGCGTTCTTGATTATCTTCACCACATCCCTCATGGACTCTGCCACGAGGTTATGACCTTTCAGCTTCTCCACCTTCCTCACCCTGCCGATGGACAGGACGACCTTCTGCTGTCCCCCGGGTCTCACTTTGGCGGACAGGAACAACTCTGATGGCTTCGGGAGGAAGATGTGGTGACTCTGAGGTTCCTTCCCTCCCCTGTACTTGTTGTCAAAGTGTTCAAAGATCCGTCTACCCACAGAGAAAGCTGCCTTTGCCTTGTCGACTTTATCAAGCATATCCTTCTCCTTCTCCCGTGCTTTCATGGCCTTCCGGCCTCCCTTGTAGTACTCGGTGTCCTCGGGTATGACGTGGGTGAACATCATGAGGTCTGCCTCATCCTTGTAGTACTCGTCATGGATGTTTTGTGCTGCCGTATCTGTGATGTCAGCGTGGCCGACGATGACATCAACATGTGGTGGTAGCGCCGATTTCGGGTCTCGGCTTTCCAGGTATTCATGTGGTGGTAGCGTCGATTTTGGGTAGCGGAGCTTGAAGTCAAAGGTCAGCCAGTCGAGGGATGGCGCTCTCGTGTCCCCTTTTGCTTGAACGGGTGTGATCAGTTTGACGCCGTCTCTGTCTGCTGCCTCCTGGTCTTGTTCAGGCACACGCAGGGCTGTGGCGTACACGACCGCCTTGCCCTGCAGGGTTTGGCTCGCCTCGCAGTTGACGGTAGAAATCCCTCCCTTGGAAGTCCCATACTCGTCGTTGATCAACAATATTACTGGTCTCCCAGTACCTTCAGGAAAACAAAAGCAAACACGGTATTTAGGGAAACTCAGTCATTTGCTAGAGAAGATTCATATGAGCTATGATTTAAAATAGTAATTTAATACATCAGGGGTTTTTCTAGAAAAATTTGGCATGGGGGAGCACTATCATGGCGAGTGAGCGAAGCGACCGAGGGGGGTTTGGTGCGGAAGGGGGTATCCCCCTTCCGCCATGTGAAGCCTTTGAAAATTTGAAGTTGAAATGGGACATTTTG